GCGCGAACCATGACAGTGGACGGCCAGACTGTAGAGAGGGATCAAGTCTTCGTCGAAGACTGTACCGGGGCATCTCAGCAAATTAAGGTCACAGCTGAAACCCGAGGTGGCATGCAAGAGACACGTTTACATCGCCCTGATTACAGCAGTGATAAGCGGGATTCCCTGCTTCCGTGCCAACGTCCCGACTTCGGTCGATGAGGAAATCTGAGCACATCAACTGCAACAGCTTTTGGAAAATGTTTCTTATCTTGAGGGACACTTGAACTTGGCACAGACACTTTGGGACAGAGCTGCCGGTTTGAGGGAACCTTGCGCTTATCGAAGAAAAGACAAGTGTAGAAAATCTTGTTTAGTCTCATTCTCACAAATTAAAAGTACAGTATTCTGAATAAATTTGAGCGTCGCTGTTTGCGATGTATAAAGCAAAAGAAAGCCAGCAGTTCACGAGGAAGGAACATATTTTTTCTGGCAGACAAAATTCTTTTTTACAAATTATTGCATAAAAGTTGCAGTGAAAGCAGTACTGTACTGAAACTCTATACAGTATGTCATATTGCACTACAAACCTGATTTGTTCCTGATTGAGTATCTGTGAACTTCTTATTGAAACATTCTTATGCTTTCAAATAAAAAGAGCTTGAGACACTGACGAATCGACCTTGATGAGTCTTGAAAACCTGTGTTTCTTGGCAATTTATAAAATAAAAATGATGAGTATAAACTCTATAAAGTATAAAATTCAAGTATGATCCTGACATTTTTAAGCCAGAAAATTTCTGAAATTTGCATCACACGAAAGGAAAAACTTTATGGAAACATCATTCAAGCTCAAAATTTTCTTAAATACTATAGATACATTTTTCGGCCAATGATTTTTGTTGCCACTTTTTTTCGCCCATGAATTTGTAATGCGAAGAGGTGTCGTTTGGTCCTTTTAATGGAAAGATTTTTGAAAAACAAAAATAGCATGCTGACGCGTTAATCCACTAGTTTTGCACGGCTGCTAGTAAGTCATTTGATGACGCATAGATCCCCCTCAACTGACAAACTTTCCATAAATCCCTGTAACGATCATGAGAAATCTATGTGCACACAACGACAGAAGTTAGAAGCAAGGCATCTGGTGCGTCACAACGGTCACCAGAGAAAAATTGAAAGCATAATTGTGTTCGTTGCCAGAATTCTATATGATTTTGTTCAAGTGGCATTGTTAATAGAAATATTTTCATAGAAGACATTCTTCCACCATTTCAACAACAGGCAGCTGAAACGCTGACCCCGATGAATTAGTTCAAGATGGATTCCTTCATCTGAAAAATTTTTCAAGCAAGTATATTTGAACAGGATTAGGATGAAATGCTTGTTTAAAGATATTTCTTCATTCAATTCATTAACGGGTCATTAACGTCAATAAAAAAACATCGGTACTTTTTGTAATTGTAGTCATCAAAATTCCACTGTAATGTAGAAGATGGAAGTCTTCAGCCTCCAGAAAACGATTTATTGCAACACCATTTTATTTCGCTAAAAAGGCACCCCAAGGGAAATCAGAATGCTGCCAAGCCCCCTTACATACAGCAAAATGAATTACCTGTAATATAATCTAGTTTCTTCGATTAAAATATAAAAGATACATTAGATCAATATTTCTCCAATTCCACTTTGTCAAAATATGTGTCGGACAAGTTTCTGATTAATTTAACCACAAGCAAACTGCTCCCTTGTTGTCTATTCACTCAGAAAATGTTACATGCACTAGTATAGCATCTTGGTATAGTACTTGTGCTGTTGGGCGTCCTGCGCTGATTTTCGACGCATTATGTACGGTCACAGTTCAAGGTAAGCAAGAAATTTCAGTGAACTGCACACTTCGTAATAAGAAAGCACAAAAATCTTTTATTCTCCCTTCGATACTTCCTCGCGCTTGTTTCCACAGCAGCACAAATAGTCACGCAACGCCTCTGCCTTGACTCCTAAGCGAAGATGAACCTGGCGAAATAATTACCCTCATATGACAAAAAAGCATTCAATCCACACGGTCGGAAGTCAAGAATTCCGATAATTCCGGAGCCAATGAGGGTAAAAATAAGAACAACTTTGGCAACTTCATCTTTACGATGGAGCGTATCAATCAAAATCAAAACGCTTGCATGATGAAAATCTCGAAATCACGGGTTTTTTCTCCTTTTCCGAAAGAGGCAATAAGCTCAAACTTTAAACCAAAGATGGAAACGGAAGGTAAACGTACAAGAAGAAAGCTGCTGAAAAAGAAGGTGCAAATATTTTTGCGGCGCCAGCTTTCAAACGTTGAAAACGGGAGAACAATGACACAACGGCCCGCAAAAAAAAAAAAAAACTTTTGAGTGAACGTGACGCACAAAAGAAAAGATCCACGCCGACGTTTTGCTTTGAGGCTCAAGCAGTACAATGCTCGGCATGCTCGTCCCAATCCCTGATCTGCAAAAAAAATTAAAAGCGAATCTTAAAGCATAAGGTATTTTAAAGACTTATAAAATCGCCGAATTCATTCAAAAAATGCCCTTTTAATCAAGGATTTGATGTCACTTGGTCTTGTACTCGAAGCAAAGGAACAGCTAGAAATGCGTCCAGGTCCTTGTCGTTTTTCAAGTTAAGTGCGAAAATATGACACACCCCACATTTCCGAGAATTTAGCATTAATCGAATAAGACTCAGCAAAAATTCCACCGAACTCTGACACACGCTGAAACGCGTCGAGACTGTGTTCTTTCATAACTTCAAATCATCGAACAAATCAGGGAGTCTTCAAAAAAAAAATTGCGAACGATGTACGCAAAATTCGTCACCTGTTTGATATTGAAAAACAAATAAATAAAACATTCATGGATTTCTTCCGTTATTCTAGAAAATTCGACTGTTCAAGCCGGAACAGGTGGGTTCGTACACCAGTTGAAGAGTCCAGAACACTTCTTCAAACAACGTTACTTCTCGGAGAAAACATAATTTTGAACGGAGTTTGTAAAGGCGATAAAGATTTCAGCACATTCCTACAAGTCAGAGATTTTTAATCGAGTGAACCACATGCCCAGGGCCACTTGTGGAGATCCTCCCCTTGCTTCCAGGCTTTTAATTTGACAGTAATGTTCTCCACGTTAATAAATGATGTAGTTAGTCACTCCTTTCCTACTTAAACTAAATTGGTTCTTTCAGAAAATCATTAGAATAATTCCCCCAAGAAATATTGTTTTAGGGTTTATGGACGCAGGGCTACAGTTGACGGTAATCAAGCATTCGAACGCCACAATCTGGCAGAGCACCACATTCCATCAATTACGCGCGCAATACTGATTGAAAAGACTGGCTTCAAGCCAATCATCCCGATAATCATAGCTTACCTGGCATTCTCGAGAACAATACCACTGAGAGTTGCACCCGGCACAAACGAACTGCGCTATTCGCTGCTTGCAACCATGGCACGTCGGAGGCACGTCTGCATTCTTGCCCGTGTCCTTGCTCTTGTTTTTCTGCGGACAAGGGAAAGGAGTTCAATTATTAAAACCTTTACACTGGACTGGAAAAGGAAAAGAACAAAACTGGGAAGACTCGGATTTCGCAAACCGAAGAGGAACGTCACTCACCTCGTTGTTCGTCGCGCTTATTGAGACGGTGCCACCGCTGATGTTCGATTTTCCTGATTTAGAGCTTGACCTCTCCGACGACTGCTGCGGAACAATAATAATATGCACTCAAAACAAATCCAATGTCAAACTTTTTTCCGGAGAATAGACGCGATATTTTAATTATTTTCAAAGAACACAGCAAAACGCATAAAATATTTTAGCCGATTACGTCGAGCTGAACTTGCTTTTATGAAAGAAGAATATTCTGCAATTGAATTCAATTCCACTCGCTTTCCGAAATAATCCTCATGTTTTTTCCGTCGTCACAGACGCCAGATCCAAAATAAATTTCTTGGAAAAATTGGATGTTTTCAAGCGCATCACATAAACAGTACAGCAACAAACTTTCACTATCACTCTTCGAAGTTTCACAACACTAAACACGAAAACCTGGATTCCTTGTCAAATAAATGAATTGTCCAAAATTTCCCAATTAGGTCGCTGAATTCTTTTTACGCGGCAGCATATTATCAAGCATTCAACAATTCACACCGAATAGAAGTCAGATTTTTCGGGCTTCAATTAGGCAAGTGAAACATTTTGATTCATGCGGAGGAAACAAAAAGGGCAGGTGAACTTGCATGAGAGCCTCTTGGCTTTTGTCTCAATGAGCTGGAATTGCCGGCTACTAATTCGGATGTTTTTCAATAACGCGTTGTAATACTGCACATGTTCAACCCCATATTTTATTGTTCAGACAATAGCATACCATCATTAGCCCAGTTTATTGGAGCTTCGCAGCACTTGATTTTTCTCAATGGACACCGATTCGAAAATTATTGCGATCACCTAACACAGATAATCATGCATACATCAATTTACCAAATCTTCCTCACAATAAATTTACTGAAATATAGATTTTCGACCCGATACGTCCTCATTTTAGCAACGAAATACTTACACGGGAGGCCTCAAGCAACGAGGTCAAAGCCGCCGTCGTGGGCGTATCTTGACCGGGCCTGACAGAAACACCCCTTCTAGACGCCGCAGCGGCGGCAGCTGTCGCCGCAGCAACCGCAGCGGCCGCCGCCTGCTCTGCAGACCCCAGCCCTAAAGCCTGCTGCAACTGTGAAGGCTGCGGCGTCAAAGCGGCTAATCGTCCAGTCAACGCTTGCTGCAGTTTCTCCGCTTGCTGGTACGAATTGTGCTGTTGTCGCACGATCTCAGAATACATCTTCATGATCTCCTGCTGCGACGCAGTACTCTTGCCGGATGTGACGACAACCGGAGATGTTGTCGTTTGCTGCTGCTGCTGCTGTTGCTGCGTCGTCGTCGGACGCCATCGTCGCCCCGAGTGACTTTTGGCTGCCGCCGCGGCAGCTGATTGCGCCACAGCCGCCATTGAGCCGGGTTTTCCCTTTGCCCCACCGTACAGCATATCCGGTGTGATGGTCATGGCACGAGGAGTGACCATGGATGTTTCCTGCGTTTTCACCTTTCCTCCAGACATGCCGGCGACGATGCTGACAGTGTTGTCTGATTTCTCCACTTTAGAGATAGATGTGACGACTGGGGCAACCGTGGGGGTCGTGGACAAACTTCCGGTCAGTTCCAGTGTCTCCACTTCCCGTTTCCGTTTGAGACGAACGTAATACTCTTCCATCTTCTTCTTTTGCACGATGAGGTGATTCCACTCGCGCTCCTTCTCCTTGACCTGAAATGACAACAAAAAACTATATTCGTGCTCGTTCAATCGACAATAGCATCAAAACTTTCGATTCAAGCGCTACGAACCCCAGAAACACTTCGTTAAATTTACATGCGCGGGCTGTACAAATTCTACCAAATACGAAAAACCAAGTTTTCAGCTGCAACGCTTCCTCAAAAATTAAGGCTATGAAACTGAATTAATGCTAAAGTTGGTGTCATCAGTAGGCGCTTTCAAATAAAACAAACACAAATGAAAAGTTGCTGCGTGCTCCTCACAAATGTTGGACAAACCAGGTGTCGTTTCAAGTGAATATCGATTAGTTGAGTCATGTGAATTTTAAAACGTTGCTGATGCTTGATTGATATTTCGGACAGGGTTGAGAATTCGAGGAGTTCCGAAAATTTATTGAATAAATGACGGACAGAAAGAGAATGAGTCCAGTTGGGGTAGAATTGAGCTTTCTTTCAATGCACGGGTCATTTTGACGACGTTTGAACCAAAAACATCATTGTTTTTTACATTTGCATGAGATTTCAAGTTTCATTTTTCTTCTTCCAAAAGGAAAAAAAATTCATCATATGTTAGATCAGTATTCCCTTATTCTTTCATATACTGTAGTTTCAATTTCATCTGACTTGATAAATGTTAAATTCCCGAAAGAGCTTCCCTCATTCAGACCCAGAATTATCAGGAAGAGAGCCACCCCTTACAATTCCTTGACGATTACGATTCACCGCTATGACGTGTACGAAACGGTCAACAATATTTCCTAAATTTCGATGCATCTCTACAACCGTAAATGGTGCACGACTTTCCAGGAACAAAGGGGTACGATGAAATAAACGAAAACGGAAAATGCTTTTCTTCGACATCCGTTCGTGAAGAGCAACGTGATAGGCACACAAGAAATAAGACATAAGCAAATTTAGGACAACCGAAAAGTACTCAAATACTGCATCCACCGCAGGGTGAAGACCACGCAAACTGATTAAATATATATCAGTTTGCGTGGTCTTCACCTTGCGGTGAATATGAGAGGCCCCGTTATAAAAAATGATTCCAAAACGGGACTCAGCTGATATAAAGAGAAGTGGAGAACATTCGTTCTATAATACAGTATATACTGTACAGTATGAAGTTAAATTTTGCATAGAATTGTACTGCATACCTGAGTATCGAGCGAACGAATATCCCTGCGCACAGATAGCAGCATTTTCTCCAGCTGATCCATATCTTTAATGTTGGGCAGGCGTTCCGGCGGACCATTGCTGCTGGCATCAGAATTTTCCGAGACCTTGATTTTCTTCGTCACTGACACGGTCGGGGAAATCGATCGCTTCGTGCCTGTCAAACCATCAGTCGCTCCTCGAATCTGAACTATCTTGACATCGGGCGTAGGTGACGTCACTAGCTTCCGATCATCCGACGACGCAGTATTCGTCGGCTTTTGCGGCTCTGCGGCGTCGCCTTCGTCCACCACCAGTGCAGGCGGCTCATCGTCGTCATCGTCGGCTGCGGCGGCAGCATTGTCGATAGGAGTGTCGACAGCAGCGGGGGATTGTTTTGCCGACACGGCGCCACCGCTAGCAACGGAGACAATCTCGATGGACACTTCCGGCTCGATCACGTTCCCGTTCACGCGTGGAGAACACGGAGACTTCTCCCTCACCTCCACGCCGGCACGGGTGTGTGCAACAAGGGTTTCCTTCGCATCGCTCACCTTCGAACCTGGACAAAGATCCAAAATAAGTTCAACAAGGTCATTCAGGGTAACAAGACAATAATACAACAGTGCTTAATACAGGTGAACTCTCCCTCTCTCAGCAACGATCTTGTTTACAACGATTTTCTCCGTTCAACGATTTTTTTTCCAACGGTGAGTTGAGGTTAAGTGAGGATGGGTCTTCGAAAAAATTCTTCACATAGGGCAATTAATCTACCGCCATTTGTGAGATTAGAGTACATTAATTTTTTGACGTACATTTTAATGATTGAAAGCGTCCTATGCAACGAACGATTTGTAAGAGGCGTTGGTGAAAACCACGCCTAATAATGCATGAAGTACAATATTACGTTCGTTGCAAGAGGCACCCCTGTACCGCATTCTTTGACTGTAGGCCGCAATTTCTTTTAAAGAAGGAAATTAAGTTTAAAAAGGAGGCGAATTCTCTGACAAGATCTGCGACTGCCATAGCATTTTTCCGTGAATCGATTTCTCCTTGGGTCTTGATCTACAGTTGAAGATCAAGACAGATATTTTCAAAGAAACAATAGACTTCAACGCAGCATTTACTAGGTAAATGAAGGATAGGCCGCAGTGACCCGACGTTGTAACCTCGACTCAAAATCAAATTAGGGGATTTTTTCAAGTGCTTCGATGTGCGGAAGACTCTTTTTCTGGGTGATTTTTTCTGCCTGGTTTTTCGGTGGTTTCTTCTAATATTCCCCGCATTTTTGACCAAATAAGCGTTCCTCTTCGATGCGTTAATTTGCCCTATTTTCCCCGCCAAAACTGCCGGTTTTCGCACGGATTACAGTTTTCTTCCATATAATTTTTGCTTAAAATCAGGTTGCGTCTCAAACTCGCGTGCTGCCAATAATCGAGTTAAAGCGTCGGAATCGTTCAAGCTTGATAATAACAACCGTGGAATACCGTGTTCCGGAACAAAAATGCCGAACCGCTTCGATACTTCGCGTCATAAAGAAAAAATCGCTGGTTCAGCATGAGATTCATTGTGAAGTGGAATCCGAGGATTATTTTCTGATTAACTCTCTATCGAAGATACTAAAGCTCGGCCATTGTCAAAATACGGTGAACGTTCGTTGCACACGCCGCGGAGTCAATTTCGAAAATGATCAATCAATGATAATGACAAAATAAACAAGAAAGATAAATACTGTACTGTACATCAGAAACGTCTGACGCCAAGGTACCGGCTTACCATGCACAGTACAGTCTTTTTTTAGCCCGCAAATTTTCTTTTACTATTAACAGGATTGAAGAAAATCGAATCGCGAAACAATGAAAATTTCGACCGAAACGATTTGTGCATTGCAGAATATCTTGAAAACTGTAAACGACTCCAAATTTCTTTACATTTGAGCTTCAAACGAAGCATGAAACTGACACTTTGTTTCAAGCCGTGAATGGATTTTTTCAAACTTAGTTTCATGATCAAGGGCAGAAAATTTAAAACTAATGGAATAATTTAGCGCCGAATATTTTAAGGATTGGGCTACTAAAAATACCTGTAATTAGAAAATTTGATTTCCAGAATTTGCTGAAAAATCTAATGTGTGAAGGGTTTGCTTTACAGATTCGTTGCCATTCATTCACATACTTGTATACAACTGTGAAATCGATGTACCGAACTTATCAGACATTTTTCCCACGAAATATTTGAAAAGAGTGCGTGACAATAGCGGTACTCATTCAAAGAAAAAATCCAGATCGAACTTGAATTCTTAAAGTGCGTACAACTAAGATTGAAGCAAATCTACTGTACTGTATTTAGAAAATCTGCCTTACTGTAAGTATAAGCCATAATCAATTAAAACTTTCGGAAATTTGAAACTAAAAGATCGACAAAAAGGAACAGTGAAAATCAGATCTGGTTATTGTACGGCTGATTTGTCTTCGTTCACTCAGGTCGGTATTTCACATTGCTAAGAAAGATGCATTGCATCTTAAAATGAAGTTCTGTCAGTATCCAAGTTTCTGACCGAGAAGGCCTCACGATCAATAAACTTTTGATTGGTTGCAGATTTTTCTTCATTAGAAATTTCGTCAGAGAAAACTCTTAGCTCACCATTAAACC